TGTTATTTCAGGAAATTCGATCTGAAGACACCTATTGCTGTGAACAGGGAATGAATTAGGTCCTTTAAAAAATCAGGAAAATTAGAACTTCCTCTTCATTCAAAGGACAGCAAAATATGCTTTAAAAATTTCAGATATTTGGCTGAATAACAATGCATTTGTTGCTGTTAAAGAATACTCCACCCCTTTTATATTTCAGTGTATAGCTAATTTTCAAAATTCAATCAATACAATTTTCCCTACAACATTATTCACTAATTCCTCCCAAAAGCTGTAATACAACACCTACTATCCTAAAATGCTGGCATTCTATTCTCATTACACTGCTCTTTCGCCTTGACTTTTTTCCCCAAAACTGTTTTTAGGCATATATCCAAACCAATCTGATTATTCTGATTTCCTCTTCTCCAATTTTCTCTAAATACTCAAGAGGTGACATTTTGATTACCAAAACCAAAAAATAAAAAAGTGCATTTTATTTAAACAGGTATCTGACACATATACTAACAGCAAGGTTCATTCTAATAGCAATACATCATCCACCCATCACCCAATACAATTAAAGTTTAAAACAGGGCAAAGCTCTTGTGTAAATGAGTTTAGTAAAAATAAAACCATCCTCACAAATAAACTCCTTAGGGAAAAAAAATATAAACTCATACTCAAATTGCCTTGTCACTTGTACTATCTTTAAAGTTAAGTCTTCCTAGCGAGTAAAAATAATTTCTCTGTTCTGGTAAAAGAAAAAGTCTGATATGGAACTGCTAACCTAAGGCACCAAAATAGCATTGAAATATTTTCTATTAACTGCTTTCTGATAAAGTAAATAAATAAATGGCTCAAAGCATAAAATAGGAATGTGACAGAATCCATTGGACTACTATTACTACACTTGAAAAATTTGATATTAACCACAAAAATCTTTTCCAAAAAAGGCCACATAATGAAATTAAAAACAATTCTGGAAAAAGTTCTTTCAGAAAATCACTAAATATGTGATTTAAAAGTCCCACTTACCTTCTTTCCTTGCATCACTAAATAACTCAGTAAGTTTTGTTGTCTGTATAGTTTGTATACTCTCAATTTTTAAAGAATATACATATGTTGCTATCTTCAAAACATCAGGGATATTGCCACATTTTATGTAAGAATGGACATTTGCAACTTGTTCCTATTATCTCTGAGATAACATAAAACTTTTAAAATCTCAGAATGTGTTAGAACATTTTGTAAAGTCTATGGTGTGTAACTATGCTCCACACCTGAAACTAATACATGTCATTGAACGCAAAGTAGAACTGAAAAATAAAATTTAAAAAATATCTCAGAATATGTTAATAAGTTTTATCCAATACATGTTATTCCAGCGGGATGAAAACCATTTATAAGTTCCACTTAGATTAAGAAATCCTTTGAGAAAAGTATGTAGTACATTCTACTTATACTATTTCTAGAACACTAAAAATCTCTATAACCTATTTCCCTACTGTTTTTCTTTGGAACCAACTGAGATGAATGTAACTTCTTTCACAAAAAGTGAAAACAGTACTATACTTAATAACACAAAGCTAACCAAATTTTTACAGAGGCTAAAGCTTTCACAAATTAAAACTTTCTATTTCACCTGGTCTAGAAAAAGAGTAACGCTGAGTTAAAATAGATTCTTTCAGGCATTCTTTGTGGGCATCACCCCCAAAATAAAAACCACATGAAAATAAAGAGTGTACCTTCACCTGAAAAACAGCAGTAGAGAAGGAGACAAAGAGAAGACTTGTAAAAGCTCATTGCTGAAACTGAGAAAAGAGTTTTCAATTCTCTTAAGACAAGTAAAATAATTTTTAAAATAAGACTCCCCCAATGCAAGGAGTTCATCATGAAGCAACACCCTCCTTCTTTTCCCCAGAAAAGGAATGAGGTGCAGGTAATTACTACCACTCCCCCCCGGACTAAAAGTTGAAGGCATTACAAGACAGTTTCTCTGCATTTTGCCATTTGATTATAACTGTCTCATCCTAATAAAATTAAAGATTTTTCTGTGCACCTTTATGAAGACAAATCTTATAATAAGCCAACTTTAAGTAACTGGTGCTCACAAACCTTCCTACAGGAATAATCTATTCATCTGGAGAATTCAACAACTGAACCTGGCAGAAAGTATTCCAACAATCAAAAGTATGAAGCTGCAATGTTCACAATGTTACACCTAAAAATTTAAACCATACAAAAATATTTTGAAACCTTAGCTCCCTATTTCCTCTGCAAATGCCAGAAAACTTTAGTTATCTTCAGGTGTGATCAAGATCCCAAAGTAAACTTATTTTGACTACAGAGTGCTGAAACTAAGAATCTGATGACTTCAGGAAGAAAGTGTGCAGTAGAGAAAATTACTTGAGACTCTACTGACTGAGGCAAAATATCTTTACAACAGAAAAGATGTATTAAAATCGTTTACCGTCTTCTGCCAGACACACAGTCCCCTCTTGAACACACTGCTTGCAACTGGGCCAAGTATGACTGACTGCCAAGGGCTTCCAAATCTGTGTTATGTTTGTTCAAAGTGGAAAGCTTCTCCCCCAGCATATTATAAAGAAAAATGAAATACATTTTTTACTTAAGAGTGAAAATCAATTGTATTAAACACATTCCTCCTGGGACAAATTAAATGTAAGTAATATTTTTTAAAGATCTCAAGTTATAACGTAAAACAAGCTTTGCTATATAAATTGCTTCCAATTCCCAACAGTAGGGACTTATTTAGCTTCTCCAAGTTGGGGCTTAAGTAGCTAAAAGGAAAAAAAGAAGTTTTATACATGGCTTTTCTATCTCAGTTTACATTTGATTAAAAGACCACATATCACAATCAAGTGACCATAATGCCAAATGTAAGATTCCTCAAGTATTACAAGAAAAATCTATAAAAATCACAATAATGTGCAAAAGTGATTAAAAGGGTAACTATGTATCTGTATTTACACTTGAGGTGTTACTTTTTTGCAAATAAGAAGTACATTGTTGCATGAGATCACTACTATGAACTTTAACATTTTTACATATATCTTAACACAATCTTATTTAAACATGAGATGTATGTGTCTGAATTTGTAATCCTGTTCACTTTTCTAGTAATTCTTTTTTTCACAATGGTCTGATTAAAGCTAAGGCTCCTTCTTCCCATTATGCCATTCATCAGTGTATTTCAATTTAGCTTTTGCCAAAACACAGACATCATAAGCCACCTCTTCTACTTTTTCTTTTTTTAAAGATTTTACTTATTTTTAGAGAGAGGGGAAGGGGGAGAAGACATGGGGAGGGAAACATCAATGTGCGAGAGATACATGGACCAGTTGCCTCCTGCACGCACCCTACTGGGGACGTGGCCAACAACCCAGGCATGTGTCCTGGCAGGGAATGGAACTGACAACCTTTCCGTTCCAAGGCCGGCGCTCGACCCACTGAGGCACACCACCCAGGGCTAGTTTTCTGTCTTTTAATGAAAATGATAATGACAGATTGCTACCAAGTGCATGTATGTGCACGCTTTGTCATTTCTTTTTCCCAGCCCTCATCTTTTCTGTGGAAAAATGGGGGATTTAATTTCGGAGGAAAAAAATCTATTTTTCTTTTGCATTAAAACCCTAATGGGGTTTCAAAAGAAAACAATGTATTCAGATACTTACCTTTCTAAAATAGTTAAAAGACAGAACTTCCCAAATTCAAAAGCACTAAGTCTGATATTGGCTGGAGAGGAAATTTCCACTCAAACGTAAATAAAATATGTTAGCAATTAAGCTGAACATCAGTATAATTCACTTATTCAATAACCAATGCCACAATATGGAAGGGATCTATAACCCACATATAACCTACACATCATCAAAATATCACATATATATTTGCTTGTGGAGTTCACAGATGAATTTGGTTGTGTGCCAGATTTATCTTATTTAGAAACGCCAAGGCTAACATTTGTTAGTGTAATTAGAGCCCACATTAAGTGTCCTGGGGAGAGGCAATTCAGAAGAACGCTCAGGAGCCTGGACAAATTGGTCCAAAATGAAAAGAAAAAGTAAAAAAAACCCTTCCAATACAGCGAATAATCCACAAATCGCTGAAAACAAAACGAAAACGTCCCTCTTCTGAGCAGCCTAAGTAAACCCTCTTCACTCAGGACGTTTACCCTACCTCGCTTCATGCACTTCCCAACTTCCTTGACTTTTCAGGGGCCAACACGGGACACCCCTTCTTTCTGGAAGTGAACGTTGAAAGAATTCGTATAGGCAAGAGGAAAGAAACGGACAATTTCCAAGAAAGCTGTGAAACAGGTGGGTTAGAATGAGCAGCAGCAGCAGCATCTAGATACTTAAGAGGCAGCTTGAAAATGACAGATGCGGTTAAAGGCACGACTATACACATCGGAAGAAGCTCTACTGTAGCGCATAGACCGGGCTGACGGCAAACACAAGAAAGGGGCAAAAGGCTAACTCCAGAGTGGTAGTAGCAGCGGAGCAAAAAAACAAGCAGCGGGGCGAGTGGGCAATGAGCAGTGGGATTAATGAGCAGCAGCAACACGGGTCAGAGTGGAAGTGATGGCTTTGGTCGTGGGAGACGGGGGCCACTGGGAAAAGACGTCAGAGTGGGGAAAGAGAGCTGGGTAAACGAGGAGTCCTGATCTAAGATCCCTGCCCCAAGAAAAATGTAGGGGAGAGAGCTGAAGACGTAAAGCCGCCTCGACTCCCCCAATTGAAGAAATTGTCCAAGGAGTCGGTGCTTCCCGCCACGCCGCCTTCTGCCCCGCTCTCTTTTCCCGGTGGTAACTGCTGTGGCGTAGAGAGGAGAGGGAGGAAGAGGAGGAGGAGGAAGACCAAGAAAGAGGAGGGTGAGGATGAGGCGGGGGGTGGGGAGAGAGGGGGGTGCGGCCTGCATAGTTCCAGCGAAGCCTCCGCTCTCTCGTAGCCGGTCAGCCCCGGGTTTCCCCTAAGCCCAGCCCCGCATAGACTCACCCGCCTGCCTTGCTTCGCTTTTCTCTTAGCCGACTCCGCGAGCTGCCGCGTCCTCACAAGAGACCAGTGGACGAGTGTCGGGGAAAAAACTCTTCAGAACCGGGCCTGATTGCTTCAGCGAGTCCGACCTTTACGGCTGAGAGAGACACTCTCAGCTTTCGGTGGGTTCCACAGCCAGACGGGCCACCATCTTACATTAGGGTAAGACTCCTCCGGCTTCCCGTGCGCAGGCGCACGCCGATCCGGCAGGGAGGGACGGGGGAGGGGCGGGAGGAGTGGCAGGCGGTCGCTCCCACAGCACTCTGGGAGTTGTAGTCCTCGGGCGGTAACTGCCCAATTGCAAGCTGGGACTTGAAGTTCTCCCGCCCAGGGCTGATGGGATTGCCAACCTCATGTGGCTGCAAGACTACTGCCTTTCCTAGTGTTTTGCTTCCTTCTTTGCCCGCGTGTGCTGCTCCGCTCTTATTTGGTCGGCGATCTTCGTTAGTGGTTGGTTACGCTTCCTCTGTGCTTGCTCAAATATGGGATAGCAAAACTCGGGGCAAGCTTAACCAATTTAGGGGGAGCTAAGGACGTCTCTCCCGTACCCCGCCTACCATAACTATTAAAGGGGCGGGGTAGAGGCAGATTGGCAAGGTAGGAGGAGCGCGGGATTTAATCTAGGGTAAGAATTTGATACTGAATTGGCTGTTTGGGTAGAGAGAGTTAGTTCATTTCCTATGTTTGCACATTTTGGAGACACCAGTCTTCATCCCAATCCTCACCATTAATCTCCAGTGAAAAAGTAACTAAAATTGCCCAGTACAGGTGAACAAGAGAACGGACGACCAATGCCCTTACAGAAACGTGTTTCTGATTATGTAAATTTGAGAACATTATGAGGATTTTGGTGTAAGTTACTGTTCGGTTTCCAACCAGCGCAGCCTTGCGCACGAAGTTCACAAAGTCCTCACACATCAGTACATCCCAAGGAATATGAGAATGCACCCGCAATCCCTATGAGCGCCAAATCACAGAAATCAACTTCCTGATTCCTCCCATTGCCTCCTAGAATTCTGGTGAGAGTGGCGCTCGAATGAGTCGTTTTTGCTTATGGCGTGTATTCTTCCATTGATACATCAAATACTCACTGAGCTCCTCCTGTGTGCCCCGCACTGTCCTATACATGGGAAGATACTGGTGAGCAAAACACAATATTCCCTATTTCCATTCTAGGAATTACTGTATACTAGTGTGTGTTGTGATGAGGGGAAAGGGAAAGGAGGCAATTTTTTTAAAAATATATGATTTAAATGCATAGTGTGTCATAAATGAAGAAATTATGAAAAAAAGAACAGGGAAAGGAAATAGGCAAAGAGGTTGCAGTTTTAAGTCTGTGCACCCAAACTCATAGTGACAAGCCTTCATTCTTTTTTTCAATACATTAGTTCTTTTTATTTCCGTTACTTTACTATGAAGCCTAAAGACAGTAGTTATGTGGTAAAAACTTAAAATATATAATAAATTAAAATTTTTTTTTTTATTTTTATTTTATTTTACATCTAAAAATATATTAAAAACTTATTTTTTTTTTTTATTCCATAAATTTCAAACTATAGAATCATAAAATTATTATCTAACAAGGAAATGGGAAATCATTTCGTTTCACCTTTAGGTCATGAACTGTCTAAACAGAATAGGAGCTGTACAGGGGTGGGCAAAAGTAGGTTTACAGTTGTGAGTGGGGAACCTGTCTCTTCTTGTATTATTATTTATTAGCAATAATCATAACCTGTATGTCTTTTTCCAAACAAAAAACTGTAGACCTATTTTTGCCCACCCCTGTATTTTTTAAAATGTGTGTGTGTGTTACATTACCAATTTTATAGTGGAATACAAACAAAATAATAAAAAGAACAAAATAAGAATTTTTCCCATTATGAATCATCATCCAAGTCAGTAATTGTTCACAATCTTATTTTACCCAACACACTCATTAAATAAAGATTTCTGTAGCATCTCCTTTATTAGCTTAAAATTAAGTTCATAGATAATATAACCTATCTACATACATGATTTTGTAAATAATGTGCCATGTATAAAAAATAAAAAGGAATTTATAATCCAATAATTTATATTTCAATATACAAATGCTCAGACATGACCGTTCTAGAAAATATAATGGAATCATCATTTGCCGGCACTTATGAATAAAATCCCCATGAATGTGAAAGCTACAAATGCCATCTGACACCTGGTATTTCAGCCACCTCTGGTGAACAATACTAGTCTGTTCTCAATGTCCACTGTAAATATATTCCTAAAACATTTGCTATTAGAATTATGTAAAAATAAAAAATGAGTGTGGGGCTCATATATAAAATAGGTCAGGTTTTAGGTACAGATCATGATGAACAGGTGTTTCGTGAGGGACGCTGGCAGGCACATTTTGCAGGAAGTCCCGCTCAGAGGCCCCTGATCTCCAAAGGCCAGCAGTACCTCCCAGACTATCTAACACTAGGGGGCAATACCACACCTACTGAGCGTCCTTCATTGGTGGAGACAAGCGATTCTCAACCTTTTTCATCTCTTGACACACATAAACTAAAATTCTGTGGCACAGCACAAAATGTGTTATATTTTTTGCCAACCTGACCAAAAAATAGGTATAATTTTAATTCATTCATACCAAACGACTATTGTTATGTTGGTTGTTGTCATTTTTTAATGTGAAAATGCAAGGGAAAAAGGTCAGTGACCCTGACTAAGTAAGTAGTTGGGTATTGCATGTTCTAAAAATTGTTGTGGTACACCAGTGTGCCTCTTGTGATACACCAGCTGAAAATTGCTGGTGGAGATGGACATTTAATAGGTCACCAACCAATTAGTCAGAGTCACTACCTTCTAAGGCCAATGCTTCTTTTACTATCCTTTATTTTTCATATATTTATATATATTTCATATATAAACTTATCTATATAACAATTCTCGTGTAATTTTAAAAGTTAGTTAACATGAAATTCTATTGCCTAGCTGCCTAGTGATTCCTCAGTGTAGGCCATTTATTCACTTAATTACTTTTAAGCATTGTTCTCAGTGCTGGTGGTATAGAAAACACTGACCTCAGAAAGCATGGCACCTAGTGAAAAAGGTAGAAATGAAATAATCAGACATATAAATATAATTTCTTACATAATTATAACTGGTGATGAGTGCTCGGAAGATGTTTATAAGATGTTATGAGAACATTTAAGAGGGGAACCTAATTTAGATTGGTGGGGAAGAGGAAGATAGTCAGGGAAGATCTGTATAGGTTAAGAGTAGAAAACACGAAGGGGCCATGCAGTGGAAAGAAACTTAGAACTAGTTTGGGCTATGGTAAGCAGGAGCAGAAGTGGTATAAGATGAATTTAAAGGGCATTTGCAAGGGCCAGATCATTCAGAGCCTTGCAGGCCATGGTAGGAAATGTAGTTCTTACTACATGGGGAAAAGAAAGCTTTTGAAGAAAAGAGGCATGATCTAATTTACAGTTTAAAAGACAGGTACAGAAAATAAGTAGCATAGACAGTAGATAGAAAATAGATGGGGGGGCAAGAACAGTATGGGAAATACAGAATCTAAAGAACTTGAGACACATGGTCATAAACTAAAGGGGGTAATGGTGGGGATGGGGGTTAGGGTGGAGGGGAATAGAACAACTGTAATGGCATAATCAATTAAAATAAATAAATAAATATTAAAAAAAAAAAAAAGACATGCTACTGAATGTTTATCACTGGAGAGATTATTAACTCTTTTTTAACTTTCATTCTCTGGAATATTACATGCCTATATAAAAAAGAGAAAGGGGTAAGAGAAAAAAAAAAAAAAACACCAGACCAATCAATCAGTTAATCAGTAAGAGAAAGGGAAATAACAATATATTGACCTAAAAGAATGTCCAGAGACTTCCACCAAGATGTAGGCATAGGTTGAGACACCGTGCTTTCTCACCCAACCAAGTTTAGACACAACAAAATATTAGCAATAGAAAACACAGCCAGAACACAGAAAATTAAGCTTTTCGGAAGTCTGATAACAATGAATGCTTCAGCCTGACCGGTAAGAGGGGCAAAGCCAGCAGCTGGCAGAGCGGGGATGCACAGGAAAACTCGGTCAGATGGACTCAGGCGCACGGATCCCAGGCGTGGGGTTGCAAAGGGCGGACCCAGTGAGCAACCCAGTGAGTGACCGGGGGACCTGGCGAGGACACAAGGCGGCGGGTTGACTGTGGTGGCGCATTCTTGCGCAGATAGACTGGTGAGGGAGTGGGCAGTGAGAAGGGACCGAGTGAGGCCCAACGGTGGGAGGCAGCAGAGAGGGCCACCATTTCCCCACTCCGACCCCGCCCCCACATACAGCATCACAAACCAGTGACCTGAGCAGCTCTACTCTGGTGAACACCTAAGTATCCCCTCCTCACCCAGCGGCGGGAAGCAGGAGAGTGGGATGCCATTTCCCTGTTCTGACCCCGCCCCCACATATGCGTCACAACCCAGCGACCCCGCCCTGGTGGCCCCGCCCTGCCCCTAAGGCTCTGCTCCTCATACTTAACAGGCGTGAACAGGCCAAAAATGGCTCAAGAAGATCTCAAAGCCCCAGAGCCCATAACTCTAAGCACCGAAGAAATAGCAAAACTTTCAGATAACAGTTCAAAGCACTGGTGATCAGGATGCTCACAGAACTGGTTGATTTTAGTCACAAATTAGAAGAACATAAGAAGGCTAAACTAATTGAAATGAAGGGAATTGCACAGGAAACTGGGACTCAAATCAGGGGAGTGAACCAGAAGGAAGGAAAAAATGACCAAACAGGAAAATATAAGCAAACAAGAATTCAAAAAAATGAGGAGAGGCTTAGGAACCTCCAGGACATCTTTAAATGCTCCAACATCCAAATTATAGGGGTACCAGAGCAGCAAGTGGAAAACTTATTTGAACAAATAATAAAGGAGAATTTCCCCAATCTGGCAAAGGAAATAGACTTCCAGGAAATCCTGGAAGCTCAGAGAGTCCCAAAGAAGTTGGACCCAAGAAGAAGAAACACACCAAGGCACATCATCATTACATTAGCCAAGATTAAAATAAAAAAGAGAATTCTAGAAGCAGCAAGAGATAAGGGGACAGTCACTTACAAAGGAGTTCCCATCAGACTGGCAGTGGATTTCTCAAAAGAGACCTTACAGGCAAGA